TGATTTTCTGCCCCCTGGAAATAAGAACAAAAGGACAACATCCTGATGATGACTTTTGTTCCAGTAAATCAAATCCAGGTATTTTACAACAAAGAGCATTTTGCTTTTCTCAAATAAAGAAATTCTTCTTCTTTAAATTTACTTTTCTGTTAAATATGTAACAAATTATCCTACACACCCCATAACAATGAGTGAGGCTTGAGTGCCTGGCACTAATCGTAGAATGTGTCAGGCATTTCGAGAAAAATCCATTGTTGTAAAGTTAAACAGTATTCATGGGATATTAACAAAATGTTTATTTCCCTCATGGGTTTGCTGTACAAAAAGCAAATTGGGGTTTATTGGGTCATGAATTTTGTTTAGATTTACTGCCGTTGCCATATGCAAAACTTAGATGAAAATAACATACCCATATTTTAAAATTGATGGGTTGGGGAAAAAGAGGCAAAAGGATTTATTTTGGTCGTACATATTCAAAGGGATAAGACTAAGCCCATCGTTTTGTCCTCTCCCTGGAGCTAGTGGATGCTAGATGACAATTATGCAAGGCAAGCAGAATTCCTTCAGGTTATATTTCAATGGAAATACATATGTTTGCTCCTTACGTTGGTGATGCATGAGTTTGTTGAATGGAGAGGTCTATTCCAACTCAGCACTGCAATGTTAATTGTAGTAATGTTGGGCTGATTCCACAGATCTCCTGAAAATAACTAGGCCTCAACTATCCGAGCAATCTATCAAGCAGGATTCCAGTAATTCACACTAATTATTGTGGATGAGTTTTCGTAATTGAAACTAATGGTGCTGAAATTATTTGAATGTTGCTTCATATAAATAGTTGCTTATTTCGAGTCATAATGCTGTTTATCATTCCGTACCTTCACGAGAATAGACATGTATGCATAAGGCTAGAACATGGTTTGAAAGCTGTACACATTTCAAACAAAAAACAACACTAGCTGCGTTTAACGCCAATGAATTATACATGAAGAGCCTGACTTGGCCTTCTTTTTCCATGTAGATTTTGTGTCATGATTTTCTTGGGATGGCTATATTTCAAAAAGCAGTTATTGATTGTACACAGCAAATTGTTATTGTGTTATTCCACGGCTGGCAAAGAGTGGATTCAGAAAAAATTAATCTTGTCTTTGGATGCAATTCGCCTCCAGATGGACAGGAATGTGGCAAGAGGCAGTTGCGGACTTTTTTGCTGCGAGGGTGTCTCCGGGGAAATCACTGGCAGTGAGCTCCATATCGGAAGTAAAATGATGTTTTTCTGACTCTCACTTAATAAATTATTCATCTGCTGAAGAGGAAATTGATTTGTAATCTCACAATGTTTGACATGGACATTCCGACATGGCAGCACTGTTGCTTGGATGTGTACTTCTTGGTACGAATAGGCTATGAGGCTGAGGACGATGTATACATCCCACCCACACATGCTGAGCGTACTAACAGATGTAGCTTGTTGCTGGTTGGGATCAGTGGTACAAATTTTTAAATTTCTTTGTTGAACATTTCCATCATGAATCTCCTTCATGCGTTAGTAACATCTGGGTTTGAATTGGTCTGCAGCTTCCCATGTTTGTCGTAAAAAGCGACCAACGGGATTGGGTTTTCAGGTTGCTGACTTGGTTGACATCTGTCATCATATCCCAAGTGCTTAGATTGATGCTCATGAAGTTGATCACTGGATTGTCGGGTCCAGACTCAATTATTTACAAACCTCTGCCATCAAGCTGGAATATTGCTGAACGCGGTGTTAAACAACAAACAAACCAACCAATCATACCTTAGTATGGAGTACATAGTTTGAAATTTGGTGAATCCATATCTTTGAACCCTTTTTCACCAACCACAATTTCCAAAACACTTGGTTTGCCTTGGTTTAGGTATTTTCTGTTTTGTAAGAAGTCAGTACGCTATACCAGTAAACGTGAATTTCGGTACTGTCACTGGGATTTGAACCACAACTGTTTGCCACAACTTTTGAGGCGGCTTGTGCAAACTTGTCCCTTAGAAAAATATTTTGTACAATTAGTGTTACCATATGACTTTTATTACCTGAAATAGAACCAAACAGAATTTTAGTAGACTCTTGCTTGGGACTAGTGGCCAAGGTTGCGGACTTCATTGTCTCTGAGATGTTGTTCACTTTGACTAACTTCATAAATGGTTTGTCCTAGATCATGTACAGATGGTTGGTTGTTTGGTTGTTTAATGCCGCACTCAGCAATATTCCAGCTATATGGCAGTGGTCTGGACTAGACAATCCAATGATCTAGGCAAATGGGAACCGATGACATGTGTCAACCAAGTCAGGGAGCCTGACCACCAGATCCTGTTAGTTGCTTCTTACGACAAGCATGGGTTACCGAAGACCAATTCTAAGCCGGACCTTCATGGGTTGTTTGTAGGAAATATGTGAGCAGAGGCACTGAAATGGAGCTTGAGTTTCAGACAGGATGTAATTAATTCTGCTATTAGCATGTGGAGATACACTAAGGTCACAAACATGGTGCAGCTCATGTTACTGTCTTGGGTCTGGGGGTCACTGACGTCAGTGATGTGTGGAACGCAAGACAGCATCAGCTTCCCACGATAATGTCTGTAGTCATCATGGGCCATGATGCATGCCTGCAACCGTTGAGACATTGACATGCAAAGACGTCTGAGGAAAGCTGTCTGAACCTAATTACCAGGAGAACGGACGGATGTTTTCAGTCTTGATGTAATGCTATGGCTCCTGGTTGTGGACGATCAGAATCCTTTGCATGTCTAGGATGGATGACAGGGGGCGTTTCAACATGACAACATGGTGTTAGGAACATCAGTATTCAACATGTCAGCAGCCTGGTTCATCTCCATTGTGCCAAGTGCGAGCATCTGCTGAACAATGGATCACCATGGATGTTTCAGACACAGGGCCTCAGTGCATGTGTTGTTCATGCAAACCTCACACTTATACGCCATTGTGATCATGAATCGTCCATGGTGCTCTCCATTGCCCCTGCACTGAAAGCAGTGTATGAAATAAGCCAAAAATCTAGCCAGACATCAGGGCTGGTAACTTCAAAATGTTACCAGCCAAAAATGGATTTAACCAGACCAATATATAGTGAATTTACTCAGATGTATGGAACATCTAAAAAATTTACCAGACCATCGGGCTGGCTAGCTGTAAATTTAGACTGTCCGTCAGAAATCTAGACCGTCTTGGGCGGTCGGACGGGCCTTATTTCATACACTGCTGAAAGTCATTCAACCAACATATACCCATATGACTGAAGTTCCCATGCTCATCAGTTTCATGTTCAGGGACCAGTTCTAGGCATCCATACGTTCTTATTTTAGAAATGCAAAATAAAATGTTTTGTTTGGCCACCAGCTGTTTGCCTTGTGTGTTGCATGTTTGGAGCGAGGTTTTACAGGCATTGCAGTAGGACTTGGACTGTTGGCAATCCATGGAAGTTGGATTCAAGTCATTCAAACTTATGTTTGTCAGCATTTCTATATTCAGTGACATTTATGCATCATTTGTTTAATAATTTCTTTTACAGCACACAGACAACTTCCTAGTTTCACTTCACTTCACTTCACTTCACTTCACTAATCTAATCTGAGACTTGAAATCGGCTCCAAGGCATTTTTTAACATGCATAGTATAGATAATATTTTAAAAACTAATTGAAGATATTCATTATAGCTTAAACGCAAAAAATAATAAATTGGGTTTTATTAAACATATGTCATACTCTGCCTGGAACTTTCCTGTTCATGAACTTTTTCGAGACTCATTATTGTGTACTCACTAATCCCAATCATTTCAAGGTTTTTCACAGGAAAGATTATTCTTGAAATACTCGCAATCGCTAAGGATATAGTTGTTTAATGTTTCATGATGTTTGTATGAAATTGATTATCAGTCTGTCATTATCATTTTGTGAAACGAGATTGTTATTCCATTCGAGAAATATTGTGTATTCTCCTGTTTGTACGACACACTGAGATAATAGCTTCCTTGCTAAACATAATTTTAAATTAATTTTTCTTTGACTCCATTTTATGAAAATCACAGTGTATTACACCCTCTTTTGCATTGGTGATACAATGAGAGACATTGGTAGCTAATATCATTTTTGAATGGTTTCAAGAAATCCAGATAAATAACGAGTTGAAGATGATTGAAATGGTGCCTGAGGGTTTATAAAGTTTTCTTGATAGATATGTCACTGCAAAGCATAGCATTTATATTTTACCGATTGTGATATTTGATTTTTAGAATTAAACAAGCAGCCCTGTCATCACCTTAGGTCATGCCAGGGAGCATACTGATGACTTAGTATGACGCTGCCACAAACTAATTTGTATGCCGCGTGATCACACTTTTCTCTTGTTTGTAGGTCGGGGAAGTAGGGTAGCCTTGTGGTCACGCTGAAGACCCAGGTTTGATTCCCCACATGGGTACAATGTGTGAAGCCCATTTCTGGTGTCCCCCACTGTGATATTGCTGGAATATTGCTAAAAGCGGCGCAAAACTAAACTCACTCACGCTTTTTCGTAGGAAAATGCCCTTATCCTGAAATCAGGGCAGACTGGCCTAATGGAAGCTTTCAGTGCACTTTTCATATTGTTTTGACTAATTATATTGATATGCTACCACAACTGTGACAGTGAGGAGCATGACAATATGGCTAGCTCACCCTCTATACGACCTGTGAAGATCTGAGTTACAATTGGTCTTCAGTAACCCATGCTAGTCGTAAGAGACGTTTAACGGGATTGGGTGGTCATTGTATCCCAAGTGCATAGATCAATGCTCATGCTGTTGATCACTGGATTGTCTGGTCCAGATTTGATTTATTTACAGACCGTCACCATATAGCTGGAATATTTCTGAGTGCATCATTAACTGCAAACCAACCAACCAAATCATATGAATGTTGGCCTATTCCTGTGGCTAGTCTAACCCTGTATCCCTATCCATTGCATTGCAGGGACAAGCAAGATGCCTACCTGGAGATTGATAGCACAGAGATTGTTGAAGGGAGTGCCCCCGGCAGCTACACTGTACTTAATACTAACAAAATACTTTATATTGGTGAGTACATACAGAATGTTTGTAAATAGATGCCGATGTTTTACAGTGGACTATGTAGTTCAGTATCTCATCAATGACATTCAGTTATTGGTTCAGTACTCCAGCAGTGACTTCCATAAGTTCAGTTATTGGTTCAGTACTCCAGCAATGACTTCCATAAGTTCAGAATTTCAACAGTGATGTCAATTGTTCATTACCTCAACAACATTAGTCCAGTACCTCAACAACATTAGTTCATTACCTCAACAACATTAGTCCAGTACCTCCACAACATTAGTTCAGTACCTCAACAACATTAGTCCAGTACCTCAACAACATTAGTCCAGTACCTCAACAACATTAGTTCAGTACCTCAACAACATTAGTCCAGTACCTCAACAACATTAGTTCAGTACCTCAACAACATTAGTTCAGTACCTCAACAACATTAGTTCAGTACCTCAACAACATTAGTTCAGTACCTCAACAACATTAGTTCAGTACCTCAACAACATTAGTTCAGTACCTCAACAACATTAGTTCAGTACCTCAACAACATTAGTTCAGTACCTCAACAACATTAGTCCAGTACCTCAACAACATTAGTTCAGTATTTCAACAACATTAGTTCAGTACCTCAACAACATTAGTTCAGTACCACAACAACATTAGTTCAGTAGTTCAGTACCTCAACAACATTAGTTCAGTACCACAACAACATTAGTTCAGTAGTTCAGTACCTCAACAACATTGGTTCAGTATTTCAACAACATTAGTTCAGTATTTCAACAACATTAGTTCAGTATTTCAACAACATTAGTTCAGTACCTCAACAACATTAGTTCAGTATTTCAACAACATTAGTTCAGTATTTCAACATCATTAGTTCAGTACCTCAACAACATTAGTTCAGTACCTCAACAACATTAGTTCAGTACCTCAACAACATTAGTTCAGTATTTCAACAACATTAGTTCAGTACCTCAACAACATTAGTTCAGTACCTCAACAACATTAGTTCAGTATTTCAACAACATTAGTTCAGTATTTCAACAACATTAGTTCAGTACCTCAACAACATTAGTTCAGTACCTCAACAACATTAGTTCAGTACCTCAACAACATTAGTTCAGTACCTCAACATCATTAGTTCAGTATCACAAGAACAACATCATTAGTTCAGTATCACAAGAACAACATCATTTGTTCAGTATCACAAGAACAACATCATTAGTTCAGTATCACAAGAACAACATCATTAGTTCAGTATCACAAGAACAACATCATTAGTTCAGTATCACAAGAACAACATCATTAGTTCAGTATCACAAGAACAACATCATTAGTTCAGTATCACAAGAACAACATCATTAGTTCAGTATCACAAGAACAACATTTGTTCAGTATCACAAGAACAACATTAGTTCAGTATCACAAGAACAACATCATTAGTTCAGTATCACAAGAACAGCATCATTTGTTCAGTATCACAAGAACAACAACATTTGTTCAGCATCACATGAACAACATTTGTTCAGTATCACAAGAACAACAACATTAGTTCAGTATCACAAGAACAACATTTGTTCAGTATCACAAGAACAACATCATTTGTTCAGTATCACAAGAACAACATCATTAGTTCAGTATCACAAGAACAACATTAGTTCAGTATCACAAGAACAACATCATTGTTCAGTATCACAAGAACAACATTTGTTCAGTATCACATGAACAACATCATTAGTTCAGTATCACAAGAACAACATCATTAGTTCAGTATCACAAGAACAACATCATTAGTTCAGTATCACAAGAACAACATCATTAGTTCAGTATCACAAGAACAAATTTGTTCAGAACAACATCATTTGTTCAGTATCACAAGAACAACATCATTAGTTGAGTTCAGTATCAAGAACAACATCATTAGTTCAAAATCTCAACAATGAAGTCACTAGTTCAGTATTTTTTCAGCAGAGCGTACCTAAATATTGATGTCACACATGTAAACTGTTTATAATACTGTCTTGATCACAGAAAACAGAAATAATGACAAATATTATTGATTACTTTTTAAATGCCTTTTGAATACATTCTTTTAGTAATATCCAGTTATAAATACTACTTAATGATACAGTTAGTGCATACCATACCAATTAGTGCATACTTTACAGGTTTGTGCATACCATACCAGTTATGGCATACCATACCAGTTAGGGCATACCATACCAGTTAGGACATACCATATCAGTATGTGCATACCATGCCAGTTAGGGTATACCATATCAGTATGTGCATACCGTGCCAGTTTTTGCATATGGGTCTAGTAAAGGCACACCATTGTGAGAGCATACCATTGTATGTACCATGTTAGTGCATACCACCATGCCAGTTAGGGCATACCATACCAGTTAGCACATACCATATCAGTATGTGCATACCATGCCAGTTAGGGTATACCATATCAGTATGTGCATACCATGCCAGTTTTTGCATATGGGTCTAGTAAAGGCACACCATTGTGAGAGCATACCATTGAACTTAGTGCATACCATGTTAGTGCATACCATTCCAGTTAGTGCATACCATACTAGTTAGTGCATACATAACCATCTATGACAACAGTGATACATTATACACGGGGCTACTGATCTTCAAACTAGTGACCTTCTTAGCTTCTGCTCTTTATACGATATATATAGCGTGTGTTTCCTAGAACTGTCAAGCCCTGTAATAATGTCGTAGCCTTGGAAGCAGCATGTCGTGTGTTTGTTGTCCCGGAGGTCGGCTGTGGCACACATCAGGACATGATGACAGGGATGACTATAAGACTCAAGTGACATGTCACTGAACTCTCCCAGCATAATGGACATCTACAGCATGCTAAGATTAACATCATGAATACAACATAAGTCGCTTCCCCTTGAGGATGACCACACGTCAGTTGTCGCCAGTTGTGCAGTATATGTTCCATTCACAACCTCCGTGATGGCTCCTGTGGTCTCGTAAAATGTGTGCTCATCTTAGGTTCCTTCTGAACTTGGTTGTAGTATGGTGAAAACTGTCCATCTTAAATCTGGGAATTTCAGCGTTAAGAGTTATATTAGGGTAGGAATTTTCTTCTATATATATGTCAACTGAGTGGGATTCTGGTTTCGATTAAGTAGTCAACAACATAGTAATATATTATTATCAACTTGTAGAGACTCAGGTTTAGGACCCCAGTAACAGAATATTACCATCTCCTTGTAAGGTCCCCATCAAAAAGGCGATAGTCCTTTCCAATCACCCTGTGTGGATTTGGGTAGCTAAAGGTCTTTTTTACTTCACTTTTACTTCACAAATAAACTTCGCATAATCAGCTTTTTGTTTTCATGCAATACCGAGGTCAAAACTTGTTTTTGTGAATGCTATGTCTTGTCTTGTGTTCATAGCTCATGGCAAATCATGTACAAGTTATTGTAGACAGGAGCGTAGTCTGACTGTGAACTTCACAGAATGATGTGTAGCAACAGTCCACTGTGTATGACGGGGCAGATGGGGCAGCCTAGTGGTTAAAGCGTTTGCTTGTCACACCGAAGGCACGGGTTTGATTCCCAACATAGCAAAGTGTGAAGCCCATTTCTGGTGTCCCCAGCCATCATATTACTGGAATATTGCTAAAAGTGGCGCAAGATTTCACTCACTCACAGTGTTTAAGACAGGATGAAAAGGAAGAATTTTGTCTTCCTGGCAGATATGTGGTTAACACTTTGCTTCTGTTTTACAGGTGGTATGCCAGACGTTGCCCAGAATTCCCTGGGAAAGTTCAGCTCAGGCTATGTTGGATGTATGAAAGATGTTATCCTGGCAACTGACTTTAATATAAAGATGATGAACCATGCACAAAGTGGACGCAACATATATCACTGTGTGTCCGGTGTCTGAGACAAATCCAAGCTGAAAACCCTGCTTCCAGAATGAACTGTACTGGTCAACAAGGCCTGGGTGATACCAAATTCATATTTGGGGTGTGATGGATAGACGTCATGTGATTTGAAGAATGGATATTCAAAGTGAAGATTATGTAAAATGAGAGTTGTGCATTTGTCGGATGAATTATGTCATCTGTTATTCCATAGACAAATCAGTCTAAATTGTTGGTGATCAATCGTCCTTTTCAGGATACACAAATATGCTTTGGAAATATGATACACAAATATGCTTTGGAAATATTTACGTGATTTATACAGTGAAATTTTGTTCATTCATGATAGGATTTCTATAGAAAATGTGGCAAATAATTTCAATACATGCAAACATTCTTAACTTATGAACCTTGTGTCAAATGTATTTATTCCATATTCAAGATATTTGGTGCCCTGTTCCTCTTTGTTCCAACTAGCATTTTCAGACTTCTACAGGAATAGAGGAACCATAGATTTAATGCCCCTATAAGTTGAAGTTTGTCAACTGAAGCCTACCAACATGGGCACTCAAAGCAAACATAATCATTCATGCATTGGAAAACTAAAACACATTGTATTATCATCTGTATTTGAAATAGAAGGTGTTGAAGGTATAAGTGTCATTGACAGCAGACTGTCACGTCCTTTATTGTCCACTGAAGTAGAAAATAATTAAAATGGGATAGAATTAACTAGGGATATAATTATTTTGGATATGGTAAATGATGTGAACACCTTATAGGTCATGTTGATGAATAATGACTTGAAAGATCATAATTTTATTTAAATAGTTCACTTTGAGACTTTGGGCATTATTTGTTTGTGTTCTTTACATAAAAGCTGTTCAGACAACAGAGAGGCTGTCAGAGTTAAAAAGAAAGAGGCTATCCCAGTGCAATATTTGGGTAGGAAGACTTGTAGGAATGCATTGGATAGATTAAAATACCTTTAAGTTATCATTTAGTCTCTTACTTGAGATTAACATTACCAAGACTGAGAATTAATAAAACTAATTTACTTTTTAAATTTTAATCTTTGTTTATTTTAAGATTTGATAATGCTACCTGGGGCTATTAGAGAACCATTTGTTCTTTTTACCCAGAGTTCAAGGATGGCCTCATGTTAACAACTGTAAAGTAATAGACACTTTGAAATTGACAGAATCTTTTTTCATATTTAAACTTCAGAAGTATGGATCTCTTCTAGGTCAGGTATAGAAAGTGGTCCTGTAGATAATGCCTCAAGGCTGGACCTCACTGAGTGGTCATTTGCTGACAAGATATCCCACCATGCATTGCTGACAAGATATCCCATCATGCATGGCATCAGCCATGTCCATTCCATTGCTTGTATCCTTCAGCATTTGTATAAAATTATCATTGGTAAACACAGACAACAATTACAATTTTGTAACTTTTAAAAAAAAATGTATGCCTTGGTTGAAAACTTCATAATATTAGGTAATAAGATTTACATATTACTCCTCATGGTAAAGTGAGATGGTAGGAGTGGATGAAATATTCACAGTTAATGTTGCTTTATCCTTGAAATGTCAATTTTCTCTTCCAAGAAGTTGGCTTCAACCATTACTGAAGGGCTCATGTAACAGTGGATACATTTGTCTTTGATGATTTCAAAATATGCATTTGTTACAAGAGCAAACTTTGATGTAAAGATATCGTCAGATCTCATCTTAGTATTATTTAAACTAGAATATGCATAATGTTACATTTTATATCGAAAAATAAGTAGTTAGACATTAAACATACTTCTTAGACATTTTCAGATATTCCTTGATTAAAGGTAAAACTTTGCTCTCTTTGTAATGCTTATCATTAGGAGAAATTGTGATTAAGATAGACTATAAATATAGAAATTTTGTAAGAATTCTCCATGGTGCTCATAAAAGGACAGACACGTAGAGACGTTTACTTATTCTCTGAAAGGAATAACTGATTGATATCCATCCTATGCTTTTATTAATGATACTTCGTGCTATTTGTTTCAAGAACATATTTTCTTTGATGAATTCTGACTGCAACCACCTGTATAATATGATAGTTGTCATTTTAGCAATGATGCAGGATTGAAATATGAATCACCCCAACCTGTTTTGTTTAGATACATGAATATCAGAGTCATCACAATTCTCCCTTATTTTGTTACGTTTTTCATTTCAGAATCCAGTCTGTTGTGTTTAAGCTTTTCCAAAATAGCTATATGAAGAAGATTTGTCATTTTAAAAGTGTTGACAAGTGACAGGGAGTAATTTTTTATGCATGAAAAGCTTCTCAAGCACCCGATTTAAATTTAAGTCATGAAATCATTTAGTTTTTAATCTGATAGTTTTATTGTATACAATTCAAGCAATATGTGAAGAAAGCTGATGCTTAAATTTTGCAGTTTTTCAAGAAATTGTACATATTCCTCTTTGATAATATTTCATATGAAATCATTAAAATTCATTTCCACTGAAGCTAATGTGGATTCTTCTCAGTCTAATTCATGTAGCATGCTGATCATTCGTGGAAATGAGCTTTTTTATATCTTGCAAAGTTGGGAAGTTCCTTTCACATGTTGACAGATTTATCTATTTTGCAGTTACAGAAATTATGATGAGAACCCCCTCGGGAATTAACAATAGCTTTAGGGAGCTGAATTTCTTTGCAGAAAGTCATTTTGAAATTCTTCTATGTGCGCTCTGTCACCTACTCAGTTTTGATTACAACGAAATTGATGCATGGACTTTGAGATGGATCATGAATTGTCATAAGGCGTTTTGTTTGATATAATTCTTGCCATTGTGAATGTGTGTGTTGGGAACTATTCAAGCCTTGGTGAGGCATCAATGGACCTGATCCAGCTATGATTCTGTTGTCTGTCTCAGGGCTTGTCAGCCAGTGTGGTAAGAACCCACGGCAGATTTTGTAGCTGCCTTTCAAAGAGCTACAGTTACGCATCACTTCTTTGAGGGGTTATCACTTATTAATTCAAGTGACCTGAAACAATAATCCCTCTTTCAAATCAAAATGATAGATTAAACAATTTTTACTTTTCATGTTGTCAGTATTGATCAAAAGTGCACAAATCTTTTGTGGTGATGACATCTTGGCAGATGTTCCTAAGGAGCTATCTATCACTAAACTTGCTGCTTCCCAGTATCAGCTGATTCCAAATTTTAAGACAGATTTTCAATGAGAGGACAACTGTTTTTGTTGTGTTTGATTTCCTATCTATTAGCCAATGTCTATTTTTTAGAGTAAACATTGGTGCTTTGAAATTATGTTTCCATAAAATATATTTCCAGACCATGATTTGATAAGGACAGTCATCTTACATCATCACCAGACTGGGCTTTTGAAGGAGAATATTATTCCATATATGGTGCGTTATGTTCATTAATATCTCATTAAAATAAAGTGGTTTCATACATTTTGCATTTTTCATCCAATGGCGATGTGAGCATGTCTTCACGCATCTGAGACATGACTGGGTAATCAAAATGCTATCTTACTGCAAAGTGTGCCAAATTTAACACCCAACTTTACAGACTGCACATTAGACAAGTCTATTGAACAGTACACAGCATTTGCACAAATGACTATCCATGTATGATATGTTCATTTAGCATCTGGGTATCTTTGAACTGATCCTATGTTAAATGATCAATTAAATATATTATTTGTTAGAGTCTGAAGTCAGTTATGGTTTCTGTTAGATGATGCCATTTTAGCTTTAGTAAAGGAATATTTTGTTGTACATTTTGAGACACCTGATTTCAATCCCAGTGTAGAAGAGAAATCTCTATACCTCTTATGAACAGTATTTCTAGCCAGTACTAGAAACAACAAATTTCAGTAAAGTCCGATCCTTTGCTCTAATATGATACCTCTCTCTGTGAAGACTTCACAAAACCTCTGTCCACAACTGCATCAAATAAACCATCTAATCTACCAATGAGGGAGGGCTTGTGATCACTGGTCAAGCAGGCAAAGCATTCAGAGTGGCGTATCTGATTTCTGTATCTTAAACAATAATCATAAATACTCTCTTAAATGAACTTTGGGTAGATATTTTGTACGCTCTCTCATTTCTGAGTGCAGTGGAACCTCACCCTCCAGGTTGTAAATTCAAAGAGATAATTGTATTTAATGTCAATTTTCTTTTATGATCAAAATGTCAAATTCAAAGTCATATCAAAATGGTCTGATCTGCTTTTGAAAGCTAACACCTGAGTGTCTGATAAAGCCACACCTTGACTGAGATTGGATGGTCATGTGGTCGTCTCCGATGATGACATGTGGAGGGTTTGTCCGTCATACTGAGACGTGTCATATCAGAATTACAGGATTTTAGTGAGATTGTGGAAACAGTAGCTACATACTGTAGGCTTTCATGTTAGTCCCTGTAGTAGCCATCATGTAGTACCAATCATGTACATTTATGATTATTAACAAACCTAACGATGCCAATTAATTTTGTAATTGTGATTGAAATTGTTGCAGTAAAATAATATGCATTTAATCATATTTCAAATTTAGATTATGAAAGTGCCCCAGGGCACAACTCTTGCCTTCTATGTTAGAAGTGTCTGTTTGCAGTTGCTGAAGCATTCCTTGTTACTGTTAAATCTGTTAGTATTTAAACCTCAATGAAAACATGCCTTCTTTCACCTAGTGACTTAAACAAATAAAATCTATCCAGTAATATAAATCATGATTATTTTAAATTAAAAACTTGACATTTAATCAACAAATACCTAATGTTATTATTCAAATTCTTCTTGTAATATATAAAATGCATTCATGTACAGAAAAATATCTTGAAAATATTAGTTTGACAAATTTGTTCTCATTTGATCAGAAACACGTAATGCCTTTGCTTAGATATTTTATCTTGATGTAATGAATAACAAAATCCTGTGGTATTCTTAGTAACTTAATGTCATGAAATAAACCTCAAATAAGCCTTTAGTATCAGGATACATGTAGACATATAAACATGTTTGATGTTGAGTATTGTTGGCTCAAAGTATTCAAGCTTTAACAAATAGACGGAATTGATACCAATCCATTGATAGATTAAAATTCTATTAATGCTTATCTCATCTTGACTTTCAGTATTTGTACAAAGCATAAAGTTGCAGCCTAACTGTAGAGCTAGCACCAAGGCATTGGTCCTGACATGATAACGTATTGCATCCCTAGATATTGAATAAACAGGTGTATTTATTGTATATTTCTCCAATATTTCATTGTGCTTGTCTGTTCTCAAATCAGCTTTTGTGTATGTGATACACTTTTTGTACAGTGGTCATTTTGCTAGAGAATTGTTATATTTTGATGTTTTTATTTTGTCCATTGTTACCCCGATGGATCTGTTGATTTGTGCATAATACCTGTAAAATATGGTTGTAGCTGATTAAATACAAACATCTTGTCATCTTGTGCTGGAACTCACCCATAATCATGATAATATCGTTTGTTAGAACATATTAATAATGGAAATATTTGAACTAATGACTTTCTTGCAGGGGATTAGTGCAGAGTGATTATGTCCTATCAACCTTTCCTCATAGAAATCATTTTGTTCTCATTACACTGAAATTGGTGATAGAATTAGTGATTTAATATACAAGGATGAGTTCTTGACAATACCTCCTTACCTGGTACTGGCAGAATCTTTGTATCTCAGCAGGCTGTGTTGACACTTGTGGAGCTGACAATGTCTTAAGTCCCTTGAATTAAGTAGGTCCACACATGCATAAGTATTCGAAATAAATGCTCAGAATTGTCAATCATATTTTTTTAAGATTTTTTTTTTAATTTGATGGTTTATAATATGTAACTTGGGTAACTATGGGAACAAGTATTGTTGTAGGATGTTGTTTCAATGAGTAGGGATAATCCTTTAATGAGTGTTCAGTATTGTACCGTGTACATCATTTGTCATCATTGCTATTTAATTGGTTGAACACTTCATCTATTTTACAGGTGTAAAATTTGCTTTTGTATTAATATTTACAAATTTTCACAAAATTAATGTGAAATTGGATAATTAAATACTAGAAATGTTGAGGTAATTTTTATAATGTTTTAATAATTTTATAATCAAAAATTAATTTTTGTCATACATTAAATACATTGAAATGTATTAGCTTGAATCGCTGCAAAATGGCTGATGTGGTGTTAGGCAATGTTCAAGTTTTAATTTGATCTGGAAATTCAAACATGACAGTACCTTGCATGAGTACAATGGAATACTGAATTGTGCATATATATATATCATAGATCTTTGGTCTCTTGTTCTCGTCCAGAACGGCCAAGCCAGCATAAGCTTAATACTTAGGTTTCCATGAGCATATTATCACAAGTGAAAAATATACTTTAAGATGTTGGTGTAGACCAAATTGTACACGCTGCAGTAACAATATTCATGTGCAATACTAGGTGTAGCTTGGACCAATTGTGATGTGTGTATTTTTGCGCAGACCTGTACTTGGCTGGGCTCATCGTGATGTATGTATTTCTGCACAGAACTGTACATGGACGCTTCACAGTTCTCATGTCTTGTGTTGTTTTTGTTGTATAATCTGGATATGTGTGAATTATTTTGCAGATTTAAATTAGACATACTGCATCCTAAAGTGGGGTGACTTTCTGCAAATAAAATGTTAAATGTTTCAGTGTCTTCTGTCATCTGATTTTTATCCCCCGCAGCGCGTTTAGCGCAAAGCGGGGGATATAGTATTAGGCTCCGTCCGTCTGTACGTACGTACGTAGGTACGAATTGGAATATCTTAAGAACCGTTGACTGGATTCTTTTCATATTTGGTACCTAGGTTCATCACAGTAAAAGAAAGGTCCCAGTCAGGTTTGGTGACCTTGACCTTCATTTCAAGGTCACAAGGGGACTTTAACGTTTTACTCTTGTCAGCAAGATATCTCAAGAACCGTTCACTGGATTTTCTTCATATTCAACACCAAGCTTCATTGCGGGAAGGCGCAGGGCCCAGTCGATTTTGGTGACCTTCCCTTAATTTTCAAGGTCACGGCGACACTTTAAAGATTTCAGCATGTTAACCTGCATGTAAAGATTGTCAGGAGATATCTCAAGAACCATTCACTGGACTTTCTTTATATTTGACACCAAGCTTCCTCTGGGGAAGGCGCAATGCCCAGGTCGATGGTGACCTTCACATAATTTTCAAGGTCACTGCATGTTAAGATTGTCAGCGAGATATCTCAAGAACAGTTCACTGGATTTTCTTCATATACTTTCAAGACTTCCCTTGAATGTTTTTCAATAAGCAATTTCTTTAGTACTATTTTTGCATATTTCATACACTAAATCATTCATGTCAAGGTCAAAGTGAGTCTTTAAAATAGTTGTGCGTTTGAACAACTACAGAACAAGATATCAAGAGAGGTTGACTGGTCATGTTTTTGCTTACATTTAACTTCATCTTAAATTACGACCTTCACTTTCATTTGATTTGATAATTTGCGGCGGGGGATTATGTCACCTTAGTGACAGTGCTTGTTGTAGAAAGTTATATGGACGGTTCTTAACATGGAGAGGTAGTGATATGCTGGTTTGTGAAAAAGAGGGAATTGGCTACAGAACTATATTTTTGGCTGCATAGAAGTGATGTTTTAATTGTGACACCAGTATGTACTTAAGAAAAACCGGTTAGAATTGATCTTCAGCATTCCAGGCTTGTTGTAAGAGGGTAATACTGGGATCGGGTGGTCAGACTCGCTGACTTGGTTGACACATGTCATCATATCCCAATTGCGTAGATCGATGCTCATACTGTTGATAACTGGATTGTCTGGTCCATTATTACAGACCGTCTGGATTATTTACAGACCGCCGCCATGTAGCTGGAATATTGCTGAGTGTGCGTAAAACTGAACTTACTCACTCATTCTTAAGAAAACCTTAAGTTCATCCTGATATTGCTTTAGTTTATTTGTCATACCATGAACAATTAACTATAGAAATACATGAATGACGAAAATGCGTGGTCCTTTACTTTTACTATTAGTATATGACAGTGCTGCTGGATTAGAAGGCGAATCTTTGGATGATTATTAGAACACCCTCGACCTGTGTCTGCACCTTGAAAACATTTAATGGACAGCACCTAAAGTTCAGAGGCTGAGTCACGCTTGCAGTAGTAATAGGAACACTAGATACATAGGTGGATCCAGAAAGGGGTGGGGATGGGGTGTGGGTGTCCTTTTGTCCTGAAAGTGTATTAAATTACCATTGAAACTCGTGAAAATGAACTGTGCACTCCTGTGCATGTACACCACCACCCTCATCTTACAGGTATCATTCCCTGCAGGAGGAACAGCAGCATATATCAAACAAAGACACATGTTTAGGGAGAAACTGTCAGGGTTCCACCCAGCAGGAGCCCCTGAAACACCTTGTGTCAAGGTTGTCAGACTGTAATTCATCCACTTACCCCTTACTCTGCAGGGACAGAGGGGTAGCCTAGTGGTTAAAGCACTGCTCGTCAGGCCGAAGTTCCATTCCCCACATGGGTACAATGTGTGAAGCCCATTTCTGGTGTCCTCCGCCGTGATATTGCTTGAATATTGCAAAACGCTGCGTTAAAATAAACTCACCCACTCACTCACCCTTACTCTGCAAGGTGGCTAAATTTAACTTGACACTCCAGAGGATTATACCATGGGTAGGGTTCATATGACCTTGAAGTTGTCGGCATTGCAAGGTCATAAGACAAGAAAGAAACATATGCTTGTCTGGCTCTTGGACCAGGAACAATGGTTTTTAAAACTGGTTTGCCTGGTTTGGTTCAGACCCCAAAGTTTTAAAGACTTTATGGCAGAGACCCATGGTTTTAAAAACTGGTTTGGTGTAGACCCCATGGTTTTAAAAAAACGTCTGTTTTTTCTGACCACCTGAAATGGTACACCAGAAATATCTGCAGCCTTATATATATCACATTAAAAAAGTGCCCTCTCACTCTGGTCTACTACACACGCAAATACATCATTGACACAATAGAGTAATATGATACATGTTAAAGGCACATCCCTAAGACTATAAAATGCGTGTCTTATTCCAATATTAATGTTACGTAATAAAGCATACAACTTAATAGATAACGACTTCTTGTTTATTGCATAGAGCTACGTTTCGATGTAGATTCTTACACCGTTATCAAGCTTAGAGGGACCACAGCCGAAACGTCGCTCTATGCAATAAACAAGAAGTCGTTATCTAAAAGTCTTAAATTATTGACTCACCAGCTTCTAGAATGCCGATAAAACAATTATTAATGGTACGTGTATGAGGTGCATTCATCGTTATTCCAAAAATGAGTGAGTTATTGTTATAATGGATTATTCTGTATTCCAGTTATTGTTATAATCTGTATTTCAGTCATATCACAGAAGGTCATGGCGCCAAAATTAACCATGCAGATTCGCGTTCTTTTGAGTGAGTGAGTTTAGTTTTACGCCCACTCAGCAATATTCCAGCTATATGGCGCCGGTCTGTAAATAATCGAGCCTGGACCAGACAATCCAGTGATCAACAGCATGAGCATCGATCTACGTAATTGGGTACAGAATGTTAGCTTGCTGTGGGATGAAAGTGATGTAGGTCTCAGAGAAGTTGATAAAACCAACGATCAGATAGTGATGACAAACTAAGAGACAATCGGGACGAACCAACATTCGAACTCACAGTCATAAGTTTCTGAAGTGTCAAAGGAACGCGGACCCGTGAAGGTCCGGGTTAGAATATTGATCTTCAGAAACCCATGCTTGTCGTAAGAGGCGATTAACGGGATCGGGTGGTCAGGCTCGCTGACTTGGTTGACACGTGTCATCGGTTCCCATTTGCATAGATTGAAGCTCAATTGCGCAGATCGATGCTTCATGCTATTGATTACTGATCACTGGATTGTCTGGTCAAGACTCGATTATTTACAGACCGCCACCATATAGCTGGAATATTGCTGAGTGCGGCGTAAAAGTAAACTCACTCACTCAAAGGAACGCGAATCGGCATGGTTAATTTTGGCGCCATGACCTTTTTAAAGCCATGAATTCCTATACATTGGACACATAGATATTGAATGAAAACGACACCCCTTTCCATTTTCATAAGAAGTCGACTATTTCGCGAGCATGCGTTTATGAATCATTCAAACAGTGGTTCCAGGTGTTCGCGAAAAGGTGAGCGTATCCTGTCCCACCGATGGTAACCGTCACGAACACATGTAAGTCAACTGTTTACCAGAGAACCTACAGTACAAGTCAAACTGTGGAATGGCATCAGGCATCATTTTAACCATTAATCCGTGCTCCGATTTGTCGCTTTTATTTCTTCACATGTCCTCATTTCCCGATAAAAATGGCCTCCACATGTCTGTCATAATATTTTCAAAAAGCTTTTCTGAGCTCTGGAATGCTGAAACTTTGATCAAACAGCTTCTGAGTTATGACGTTCTTAGAAGTTATGGTAAAGGAATATTTTCAATTGTACTTCAAAAGTTTTGAAACCGGAGATGCTGAAATATTGCTTGATTGCACCTCAAAAGTTTTGAAACCGGAGATGCTGAAATATTGCTTGATTGCACCTCAAAAGTTTTGAAACCGAAGATGCTGAAATATTGCTTGATTGCATCTCAAAAGTTTTGAAACCGGAGATGCTGAAATATTGCTTGATTGCACCTCAAAAGTTTTGAAACCGGAGATGCTGAAATATTGCTTGATTGCACCTCAAAAGTTTTGAAACCGAAGATGCTGAAATATTGCTTGATTGCATCTCAAAAGTTTTGAAACCGGAGATGCTGAAATATTGCTTGATTGCACCTCAAAAGTTTTGAAACCGGAGATGCTGAAATATTGCTTGATTGCACCTCAAAAGTTTTGAAACCGGAGATGCTGAAATATTGCTTGATTGCAAAAGTTTTGAAACCCGGAGATGGTTAAATATTGCTTGATTGCACCTCAAAAATGTGGAACCGAAGATGCTGAAATATTGCTTGATTGCATCTCAAACGTTTTGAAACCGGGAATGCTGAAATATTGCTTGATTGCACCTCAAAAGTTTTGAAACCGGAGATGCTGAAATATTGCTTGATTGCACCTCAAAAGTTTTGAAACCGGAGATGCTGAAATATTGCTTGATTGCACCTCAAAAGTTTTGAAACCGGAGATGCTGAAATATTGCTTGATTGCACCTCAAAAGTTTTGAAACCGGAGATGCTTGAAATATTGCTGAAATATTGCTTGATTGCACCTCAAAAGTTTTGAAACCGGAGATGCTGAAATATTGCTTGATTGCACCTCAAAAGTTTTGAAACCGGAGATGCTGAAATATTGCTTGATTGCACCTCAAAAGTTTTGAAACCGGAGATGCTGAAATATTGCTTGATTGCACCTCAAAAGTTTTGAAACCGGAGATGTTAAAATATTGCTTGATTGTACCTCAAACGTTTTGAAACCGGAGATGCTCAAATATTGCTGAAACCGGAGATGCTGAAATATTATTTGATTGCACCTCAAAAGTTTTGAAACCGGAGATGCTGAAATGTTGCTGGACCTTTTTCTTACTTTTTGGAAAGCTGAAGTCATCCCTCTTGTTTTGCGTTGAATGTTTCATCATCGTGAATCTTTATACAGAAATCTAAAT